AAACATGGTCACGTGCAGGATGTGCTCCCCAACACCACTGCGCTTTAAATAATTTAAAAAATATTTGGTTGAATCTTTTTATCCTTCTCAATTCTGATGAATTATTTATTTTTTTTAATTAGAAAATTATTTTTTTAATTAAAAAATATTTGGTTGAATCTTTATTCAATTCTCAATTTTGATAAATTATTATTTTTTAATCCCTCTACACCAAGGGTATCAAGGATTAAATTAATCAAGTTCAACTTGACGACTTTTCAATATAAAAATATGATATTGGATTTAAAAATGATATCTATAAAAGAATATTATGTCAATTTTAAAGTGTGACTCACTGTGACAACTTGATAATATTCAATGGAAAAAAATATTAATATAATTGTTTAGATTAAGATTTGTTATTAATCACTAAACTTGTTTTTGACTTCTAGATTCTTAGCCTTTTTTGTTATTAATTTCAAATTTCAAATTTGGATAATCAAATCTTTATAAGTTATTGAATAACTCTATAAAGATTTCCCTTTTTGGATGGTAAAACTTAAAAAGATAAAAAGTTTTTCATTGCAAGTTCAATCACAAATGGTTTAAATATATATATTAGAAAAATACTATTCAACCCAAAAATTTTCTCAAAAATCTTATTCCAAGTAATGTATAGTCCTATATTATGTTAACATGCAAGTGAATGAATGATTTCGTATAGAATAATACTACATATACAAACTGATATATTTCAATGTAATTAGATAATTTTAAATTAAGAATAAACTAACAAATTAGAGGAAATGATGTGCTAATTGCCAAATATACATGGTTGTTACATCGGTTTGTATGAAATAGTTTGTATAAATAGTTTATACATATAGCCTTATTCATTTTATTTGATATATTAATTTTACACAAAAAATCCTATATGGAAGATTAAAAATAAAAATTATTTGGACACCTTAAGATGTCATTTATTTTTTTATTTTATTTTTTTGTTTGAAAACTAAATGCATATGTTATCTGTATACGTTTGAATATACAAGTTAAGTATTGATATTAATTCATAGATTAATGACAAAATTATTAGAGTAGGTGCCCTAGAGTCAATCTATATATTTGTATTTTGACTAATTGCATCATGCTTATAATTAATAAAAAGACATTTTCTACATTATGTAAATTGTATTTAATTATATGTTGTGATGTATGTCCTTAAGATGGTAGAATCATAATGAGAGTATTGAGTGTTTTAAATCTCGATTGTAAGGACCTTATGATCACATATGGTGGTTATTCTAGGAACTCTCATAGCTCTAGTATTATTCTGACCAATGATACAAATAATATGGTAAGATTATTATAGTGTTGAACAACCTTATCGAAAGATAGTGATAGTTATCACATGTCAAGGTTGTTTGGTGACAACTTGGTGTAACACATGGGTGTTTTCTATAAGTACCTTCACCGGACTGACTCACAAGAGGATTCCATATAGATGGTAACCCTAATGTTTATGAAATAAATCCCCTAATAGATGGTGGTGGATTTGACCCTTAGACTTGAGATCATTAGAACGCCTTGTATACCGATTGATGTAATTTGACACTAGTCCAACGTAGTCCTTTTTAGGCCAATCAAAAAGGTAGTGATTGGTTGCATTGAGAAGTGTATTGAGGCTATGGTGGATCGACAAATAATTCATCATTCACGAGTATGTGATAAGTTATCTCACAATACAGTTCAATTATAATTGTAACGACTACAAATCTGTGGCCATGGTGGGATTGAGTTTTTGCTCAATCCAATTTTATTTCAATCGTTGGTCCATTAACCAAATACTAAGATATCAAAGGTATATGAGGTTAACACTATTTATGTGCCTCGGTCTTGATGAGATGACAGATGATGAAAAGATTCGATTACACAGTAATCATACCGTTGACAAGTATTAGTTCTTTGCTGATATCTACTTGTTAGATGACCATAATGTCTTACTAGAGACCAATTTTGGTTTGTGAATAATGAAAGGATTGATTGGTGGTCAATCACGATATTATTCACTACTAACATGTTAGAGAGTCTACGGGTCGCACACATAAAATAGTTGATTGCCAAAGCGCAAATAAGTCAAGATGGTGATTTGAGAATTTTATATGGAGAAGGTATTTTGGTAATTTTACTGTGGAATTAAATAAATGCAAAAGATTTATTTAATTATGACGTTGTTGCCTATATCTATTGCTTTATGAAATAAAATTAGTAAAATTACAAAATTAAAATAATTATAATAAAATACCTGATTTAATTATATTCCTATGTGAAATAGAATTGGACTTTATTCCTTTTTGGAATAAGGATATAAACCTATCCCTACTTGGAATAGGATTTTTAAGTGTACATATATGTAAACACACTTATGTCTTATGGTTGGGTGGGTTTTTCATTATTAAAAAATTATTAAGAACTTTGAACCCTAACCATTGACCCTTTCTCTCTAAAATATTATCAGTTGCAATTCCATCCTTTGATCTAGCAATCGAATTATCTTGTTTAGTTTTGGGATGCTCTTGTGTGGATATAGATAATGAGACTCTATTCTTGAGTTGATTTGTGAAGAAATTCAATTTGGTGGAGCCTGTAACGTGGGTGAGAATCTGAAACCTTGTATTGTTTTAATTGTTTTTTTAATTTATATAAACACATATAACCGATGCCTTGATTCAAGGGTTAAAAGGAATTAATTGAAAATTTTTATTTCTATTTCGCTGCTTTATTCAATTATTTCCATACAAAAATAATCACAATTAACTTGGTGATGTATTTAATTCAACATTCTATATAAACCTTATGTGTCATGTGTAGCTTTAAATTTTTTATTTTTCTAGAATCACTAGGATAGGGCATGGAGGTATGGGGCTGAGTTGGTAAAAAGATCACAGTACATTAATTAGGACAAATAATGGGTTCCATCATTAAATATTTTGTGTGTGAATTGAAGTGCCTATGTTCTGACTTCTGGGGCACCCTTTACCCTGTTTATATATATATATATTTTTTTAATAAAATTGTCTCAACATCATATTACTGAATATTAACAACTTCACAAAGAAACCGGTTTCAAGTGCTAACTGGGAATGTCAATGACACCATTCTTTTAATTAAAAAGAGTTATATTAACATTATTATTATAGCGATTGTTCATGATATTGTCATGCTAATTATGTAATTTGTTTTTATTTAATTTATATATGATACACTATTATTATCATGTCTGAGAAAGTTGATACCGCAAAATATAAAAATAATAAATAAATTAAGTAAATTAAAATCAATAATTTTGATTTGACGGATGTAGGACATAACTTGTTGAAAGGAGACCATGATTGGCATAATTCAGATTTCAGCCATTAATTTTGGTTGAAGCTGAAACCACGTGTAAGTTTTGGAATACAAAGCGTCAACGGTGTCCTGAAAGGTAATTTCGTTAAAAAGAATGGTTACTTGATGAATATTAATTACAATTTTAGTAACACAACTGCTGATTGGTGTGCATTAGCTGCAGCTGTCCCAATGAAACGACAGACTTTATCTCTATTTTTACTGTGTTTTGACTTTCTAGATTAGCAATATACATTACTTTTTTATCTTCAATTATTCAATTTGACTATACTAAATTTATTATCAAATTATAACATTTACCGTTTAAAGTTACAATCTATCAATATTACAGTTTTTATACCCTAAAATTCGACTACAATAATGTGATACAAATCTAATAACATATTATTCTCCTATTCATAAGATACAAAACTTAGAAAGGCTTATATTTATCCATATTTAATAATTTTCTCTTACCTTGTCATAATAAAAGTAAAGGTACATATTAAAAATGCTAAATCGTATTAATACTTAAAAGGAATTTTAATTATTCAGGCAGAAATTAATATATTTGGTTATACATATTATGGTTCTATTGCAAGTTACTTGTATGATAAAATAGGAATATAGTTTTTGAATATGCATCATAGTACTAAGGTAAAGATATTAAAAATAATAAATTATATTATCATATAATAAAATCTAAACAATAACGTTTTAGAAGAAATATCGAATATATTGACTTTTATGAATTATGAGTCAAAAAGTTGGATATTAAAAGTCAGAAGAAGGCCAAAAATTTGATACTCAAATTCACAACCACAGCCAGAAGATCCATGTTCGGATTCTAAAATATTCAAAAATCAACACACGAATTCCCTAGCAAACGAATGAAGAAAAAGGCAAATGAATTTCCACCACGCAAAAATATTGCAGTAAAATTAACGTAATTCCTTGGGAAGCAAGCCATTTTTGTAGTGTCACTATTGTAAATTTTCATAAATAAGGGCTAGATTTTTGTTTTCCCTGAAAATAAACGTACACGTTGACAGAAAGTCCCGACAATACGTTGGCGCTGCGCGGCCATCACCAAATAAAGCTGGAACGTGAATCATATAACCTCACGCTTCTTAAGAAGCGCGTGTATTCAAAAGTCTACCTATTGGTCCTTTTGGGCCGCAGAGCCGTTGGATTGGACAGTGCAAACACGCGCGTGTGAGATGGAGATGTGAGTGTTTAATGTGTTTAATGGGTAGCATGATATGCATGACACTGTATGGTTATGCATGATGAATGTACATAGTCGATTATGGTGATCCATCCCATTGCCAGCTAATATAAAGTAAAAACTTCCAGAAATAAAAATAAAAAAAGAATTTTATATTTAATGCTGAATTTGACCGCCTTAGAAAAGGTGAATGGCCTGACTGAGAGTGAGGCAGAACTGAAAAAAAATCAGAGAGAAAGTAGAGAGAGATAGAGACGTGAAGAATAGAATAAGAGTGAAAAGCTAGTGAGATAAAACAGAGGTATTTATTTTAGATATTTCTTATATTTATTTATTTATTTTATAATTAATAATATTTTATTTGAGGTGTTGAGATTTGTATATATGTAGTAGCATCATCCATAGGGTAGGTCTTTTACTCTGTTACAATCTCTGGGTCTATGTCACTGTGTTTGCAAAACCGATAATAACTATTAATCGATCTTTGTCAGGTTTTAAAGTGGAGAGAATTAAAACATAGCCATAGATTTGTGATCTTCTTTGTTGCTTCCTATCATTTATATCTACCAGTACCTTATCGATTGTTTGCTTTTTGTTGTTTGTTTGAGCAGCCGAGAGTAAGTGAGAGGTGGGTTTTGTGTGAGAGTGTTGAGTGTGGAGTGACTTACAGTGAGAGTGAGAGAGAGAGAGAAAGAGAGAGTTGAGGCTGGTTGAGGAGTGGATTTATGTCGGCTGGGTTTGCTTTGGCTTTGATTGGGGCTCCGTTGAAGCTCTGGTTTTCTATTTCTTCGATTTCTCTGGTTGTTGCCGTTGTTGCTCTCTGTTGTATGCTTCTCTGCTCTTTCAGGCAGAGGTTGAATCTGGTGTTCCCATCTGTTTCGATGCGTTTGATGCCAAGGCGGTATGTGGGTTTTTCCTTTTAATTTTTCTCTTAAACCCATATTACTGTTACTGAATCTGAGATGGTTTTTGTGTGGCTTTCGCAGGACTTGTTCTGGAGTGGAGTGTTTTGGAGATTTTCACATAAAGCAACGATTTTTCTATCTTTTCTTGTTTTTGAGAGGGGATTTCACTTGATACAACTCTGATAAACCGAGATCTTCTTTCATTTTTTTCCTTTTTATTTATTTATTTTTTTTTTTTTTTTTTTAGCTTCTGGGCATTTTTGAGGGGGGGTTTGGTGGGTTTTATTTACTCCTCGCAAAGATGCCAGAGTTTCGAAAGCAGTTTAATCAAAACAAGAAAACAATTCGCGGGGACTCTCAAATCACCAGGAAGGTCCGTGTAATTTGTGATGATCCGTACGCTACCGATTCATCTTCAAGCGAAGATGAATCTGAGAGAAATGACTCCATAGTCAACAAAAGGAAGCGGTTCGTTCGTGAGATTCATATACCGCTTGGCCCGGCTCTGCCGACGCCGGAGGCTGAGAGTTCTTTTGACAGTAACAACGAAGTCAAAAACCCCTCTAAAAAGAGGAAATCCCCCATATCAACAACACCATCTTCACCTTCAGGAAAACCCAAAGGTGTTCGACAACGAAAATGGGGCAAATGGGCCGCTGAGATTCGAGACCCATTTAAGAAAGGCCGGATTTGGTTGGGTACTTACGATACTAAAGAGGAAGCAGCCAGAGCCTATGAGGTCAAAAGGCTTGAATTCGAAGCTAGAGCCGCTGCAGCTGCGGCCGTCGCTGATGAGGAGAAGAGTAACATCTCTTCCTCAAAAAGTGACATGTCATCATCTTCTTCACTTGTGGCTTCGAATTCGCACACCAACAACAACAATCCTGATGTTGTTTCTTCTGAAGAGTCTGAGAGTGTTTTGTCTCATAATTCACCCGCTTCAGTTCTTGAACTGGATACTTCTGGTTCAAATCTCACTACCAATTGCAAGGTTGATTTGTTTAAAGAAGGGTTTGATACTAATTTTGAAGACCTTGAAATACCCTTTTTTTTCATGGACCAGCCATTTGAGGAAGAGTTGGGAAATTTCTTCAATGATGATTGTGACCAACTATTGGGTGATTTTTGCAGCATTGATGATCTTACTGTTAATGTGGTTGAAGGAAACGAACCTAGCGCACTTCCTGATTGCGATTTCGAGTTGGAGTTTGGCAATTTAGACTTCGCTTCTTTGGAGGAACAAGCAGTCCCCCTCAATATTGCCTGCCTTTAAGTTTTGCAGATAGGAATTATTATTATTATTATAATTATTATAACTATTAGTACTAGTTTATTAATTAAGAAGAGATCTCAGGGACTGTAAGATGAGTTCTTGAGAGTGGGTTTTGTTCTGTTTTGTGAGTGAGAGTTTATAGTTGTTTATTTTTGTTGAGAAGAGAGATGGTCTGAGGAAAATGATCTCATGAATTTTGTAGTAGAATCCTTTGGGTTTTCTTGTGCTGCTAGAGCCGTCCAGAGGTTTCTCATTTGTGTTTTCAATGCCCTTGAGAGTTTTGTTCAATTCCTCACCCCTCTCATCATTTTGTGTCCCAAGTTACTATGATATGAAATTTAGTTTCTATAATTGTTTCGTCTCTTTCATTGGTGTTTTATGTATTAAAGATGAACACTTAACATCCAGTGAAGAAGTATTATTGTGTTTAAATGCGAAGACGATAACTTTTATTCTGACATTGTTGGATTACAGTTGCAGGAATGAACTCTGATAATTAATTATAAGTATCTAATACTTTTAATGCTTCTATGAAGTAATTTTCTTTCTATTTTTTAATTTTCTTTTGCCATGCTATGTGTGAGTTAAAAATAAGAGTCGTTTTGAAGCTAGCTGGATCCCAATTCGTCTGTCATCTATTAATGAAACTTGTGACTTGTTGCTTGTGTTTGGTGACACAGCGTCAGCCTTCAATGTGTCTGGTAGCTAGTGCCATTGCTGCTATTTTATTATTTTTTTCTTTTTTAAAAGTTTTGGGTGTCGACACGTGTTAATTTCAACATCAAGTTTTAGTCCTTAAATCTTGTTTCTCAAGTGAAATTGACAATTATAAGAGTTAAAACTGCGCAAGTGAAAAATCACTATTCTTAGTGACTCAATTAACCAAAGTAAAATAATTATAAGTTGTTAATTTATATTTATCTGGTTTGGAATTTTCATAAGCATAAGATTAATAAAGATAAAAAAGAGATTAGACAAAAGGACAAAGAGAATCAGAAAACAGTAGCCGCGCCGCTTTAACTCGACAAATGACAATGTTTACATGAAAAAGTGAGAAAGCGTATTGAAAAAAGAGACTTCTCTCTCTTCTTTGTATTTTTATTTTTCAAATTTACTTAGAAGCTTTACTCACCTTCAACAATCTATTGCGAGTTCCAAGTTCCAACTATGCAATAATACTAGTCTCACTAAATCCCTCTTATTAACCCTATATAAAAGTTTATGATTGGTTTAGTTAGACATGATCCATTATTGTACAGACAAGACTTATGTGAATTGATGAATTGTAAACTGATATATGACGTTAGTGAGAGAAAATTAGTGAGAAGTATTAATAAGTGTAGTGTTACTCTTTCCTGAGTAATGTTAACCTTACTCATTTCTCTTACTTACTTATGTGGTAGGTGGGTGTAAGAAGAGAGAGAAGAGAGATTAGTATGAGTGAGTAAGAGAAAGGAGTAAGAAGGGAGAGTAAGGCTAGCATTATTCTACTTTTTCATACCTCTACGCTCTACCTCTACAAATTTAAAGAGTTAAAGACTTTTTCTCCTCCAACTAATCGTTTGATGACATTTTCTCGTTCACAAATATTATTTTATTATCCAAATTTATATTTTAACAATGAATAAAGAGTAAACTTGACATAAGCTGTTGAGACTTTTGAAAAGGAAAGGTCGAAAAGTCTTTTGGTGATTGAGATTGATCAGAATTTGATTTGGGAGGGACAACTGTATAAACTCTAATAGCTCAATTATTGACGGTTAGTAGGGTCGACGAAAATTGGGTTTGAGGGGTTTTATTGAGTGATTATCGGGGAAGATAATAGTGATGATGTCGGGTCGTAACAATGTCAGAATCGAAAACAAAATAAAAATTTGGTGATAAATTGGTATTTTTAAAGTCCGCGGGTGAGAAATTATAATTAAACCATTATTTGAGTGGAAAAAAGAACGTTTTCTCCACATTTAAATCAATATTGTGTAGGACTTAGAGAAAGAAGTATTAATGTGTTTATTATCATAATTAATTAATTTGAAAAAGAAGGTGATATATTAATTATCACACACCAACGCAAAGAGCCGGGTGGGTGACTCATGCAGATAGGTTGAATTAAATTTGTAGTGAATTAGTGATATGGGGATCCTCCAATTAAATAAAAATCAAAATGAAGTTGGATTCTTGAAATTTAAGAAATATGAGATGGGAGTGGGACAAACGTACGTCTTAATTATCTGAAACGGTTCTCTTGTATTTTAAAGCGACAATTCAATAATTAGCTAATAATATGATGAGAATCTGGATTTATACAGAAGGAACATTTTGGCATCAGATGCGTGGCCAACCAATGCGGTATGAGTTTAATTAAATAAATTATAAATTAGGCTGACTTTGTATTTATAATCAATAAACAATCCTTTTTCTCTACGATGATATAAGCATAACATACATCACATCACTATTCTCTTTTAATATAATTCTCAGATTTTCTAATTAATTATTTAACCATAAATGTTAGGATTTAAATTCCACATCATTTATCTAATTATCCTTAAAATTAATACCAAGATTAATTCAACCTATATACTGTATGTTGTTGAGATAAACTTTAGTCGTTTGGGAAGAGGGGAAGGATATTTAATACTTATCTTCTGATCTTGCCAACATTTCTATTTTTTTTTTTTTTTTTCAAATGAAAACAACCTATACCCAACCCAAGAATCATCTAAAAAAGAAGATAAAATAATGCATTGGTTATATTTCTATTTTCTAATCGTTTGTTTATTGTAATGAATCAAAATCATATATCCTTAATCAAAACACCCATTAATGACATTGTTAATGTTCTTTTGATCACCACAAATAATCAAACCTTGAAATCTAAAAGGAGTAGCCAATAATAGACAAACTCTTTGATACTTTTGCATTTTAAACCCATAAATTAGTTGGAATCTTTTTGTTTGGTGAATTATTGAACTTAAAAAGCAAACCCATTCCTTCTTTCCCACTACTTATTCTTCTGCCATTATCTCAATCTGGAGGGTTGCATTGTAATTGAATGATAACAAAAAGCATCGAACACCCTTTTATTCTTTCAAAGTTTATGAGCTTATTTATTTAAATAAAGAGTCAGCGTTGAGATTAAAATTGTAAGATTTATTCCAGAAAAAAAGATTGGATAGTTGGGAAGTGGTTGAATTTTGCAGGAAAATTGTTCTGGTGTTGAAATAAGTAGTAGAACAAGAAGAACGCATACAGCTGTAATGAAAACCAAGATGAGCCAATTGATGGTTTCTTAAGTGCAAAGACTTGCATAAACAATTGAAAATTAGTTTCATGACCATTTCTTCCTGGTGGATATAGCACTCACCACTATCACCTATTGCTTCTTGAAAATACCGTAATCTATTCATTGGCTTTTGCAAAAACTGCTCCCCAAGATCCTATTGTTTGGAGTATCTAAAAACACAGACGCGTGGTAAATATTCATTAGAAAAAGATTATAGGAAAGTACTACGAACATTCCTATTCCAAAGTTTTGATTAAATTAATTCAAAGCATTCTTATCTTTTGATTATTAATTCATTTGAAAAATCGGTGGAAGTGAAGAAAAGTTGAACCAAACAGAAGTAATTCTATTGAGAATGTTCCAAAAGAAGTTGCAATTTTTTTTGTAAAAATATGATTTTATTCTTCCAGTATAATTGGTGACTAATTCTAATTAGCATATGAGAATAGAACATCCCATTGACCATAACCTTAACCTTTTTTCATTGAATTTCAATTAAACTGAATGAAATAAACCCTATTCTAACACTTGGCCCAAGATTTGGGGATGAAATTTGAGTTAACCACTTCTTCCCACCCAATTAATGGGTTAATGATACTTTTTTACCTATAAACTTTTAAAATATTATTTTATTATCCAAATTTATATTCTGGTGATAAATAGAGAACAAACTCGGTCTAGATTGTTGAAGCTTTTAAAGAGGGGAAGCCAATGATTCTTTTGGTGCTGAAAGGTTAGATTTTGGTGGTTAAGATTGATCAAAATTTGACATGAAAGGGACTGATGCGTAAACTCTAATTGCTTGATTGCTGACAGTAGGCAGGATCGACAAGATTAAGATTTGAGGGGTTTTAGTGAGTGATAATTAGGAAAGAAAATGATGGTATGGGATTATAACGACGCTAGAATAGAAAACAAAACATAAATTTAAATAATAAAATAGTATTTTAAAAAGTTATAAGTGAAAAAGCGTCGTTAAACATTATTTATGTGGAAAAAGTCGTTTATTCGGTGAAATTTAAAGTGCGGTGATAAAAAGTTTCAGATGAATTTTAAAATAATAAACCAATCAGTCCTGTTGAGGTGGTGATATAAATCCTAGAGAAGCAATAATATTTCTACGTCTAAACCGACCAAGCGGCAGTCTGTACTCTGTACTCAGTTTGTACAATCCTAAGATTACCACCTCGAACAAATATTTTATCCAATTATGTTTAGCTGATGCCAGCAACCCACTTGTTTTTCAGTTCTTACAATCTTGAGTTTGAATAAATTCTCCTCTTTCCTTCTTTGAACTTAAAATTTGGCCTTAGATTTCGACCTAGCCTCGGCCTTGGTCTATGAGCTGCCACCTTATGCCTTGGTATTTGACCTGCGGTTTTGGCCCTGGTAGTCTGTAAATTTTTAAGTCCTCTCAATACTTAGGATTCCTTACCTCAAATATTCAAATGAACTTATGGAACCCTCCGGTATGTAGTTTTATAATTTTACCCTTGCCACGTATGTTATCCATCAACAGAGACATTTAAGTATACTTAAAGATTTGCCATAACTATTTATATGCATCACATGCATGGATAATGTCTTGAAGATAGGAAAATAAAGTACATTTATTATTCTAATAATCTGAAGGTAATACTGAATAGAAAGTTTTCAAAAGAGATGGTGGATCACTTCACAGAAGTCCCTTCTCCTGGAAACTCTTGATGCAGTCATCAAACATTTCAGGGACTGATTTGAAAACAGGAAAACCCAACCCAATTATCTTACTGGTATCCATGCTATGTGGATTGTTGTCTCCTTCTTGGATGCTGCATCTGCAATGCCATAAAAAATCACATTAAGCCAAGAACATCATTATTAATTGAGACTTCCAGATGAAGATAGTAAAGTAATTAATGTCTAATGACAAGAATTATAAGTTTGACTTACTTGCTTTCATATGGGTAATTTGGATACTTATCTCTGAGCATCTCAATGATCTGCGACCAATGAGCTACTGAACTTGAGCAGATAAGCCTGCCTGATGCTTTTTTTTCCTCCATAGCAAAAACATGAGCAGCAATTACATCGTCTATGTGGACAAATCCCACGGTTGTGTTTGGATATTCACCTCGCAGACCTTGTAAAGAAGTCATGGAATAATATGGCATCTCAGTCTTTTTCTTTTCTAAATCTTTTTCCCATATTTGTTATGCAAATGAAATAACATATTTTCTAGTATATGATGGTGAAAATGACATCACAAACAATGGAATTCTAACCTTTAACAATGGTCAATATCATGAGCAAGGTGCTGGTTGGTTGTGGTGCAAGCAATGGACCAACCACAAAAGAAGGGTTCACCACTACCAAATCAATCCCGGAATCCTTGGATATTCTCCATGCTTCTTCCTCACCTATGGTCTTTGCATATGCGTACCAAAGCTGCATCAAGCCAACGATTGATTAAATATTGAGATAGAGATTATAATTTTACAATCAAGAATTGATGTAGTGTAAGAGATGTTTACATTATAGCGTTTGCAATATTCAGGATCGCTCCAATGTGACTCATTAAGAGGAGAAACTTGTTGAACATCAAAACGGTATCTTATTGAAGAGCATGAAGAGGTTAGAACAACTCTTTTAACACTTTTTGCTTTCTTGCAGGAGCTCAGTACATTCAAGGTTCCCTTTATGCATGGATCAATCAACGTCGCCTGCAATGTTTTCACATATGGATTTTGGAATGACACTATACCATGTTTAAATTTGTGCAGAAAATCATAGTTATTAAATCACTGAAGATATTTATTGATTTTTCGAGAACTAATCAGATTGAGCCTAAGTAATGACAAAATTAACTTAATTTAACAGTAAATGGAGATAACTATAACCTCATTTACACATAGTTTTGGATTAGGAAACATGCCTGAATGTTATGATCGTATGGAACGAGTACAGGTGAAGCAGTGTGGAATACCCCATCAACACCTTGAATAGCCTCATCAAAGCTTTCTTCCACCAACAAATCAGCTTTCAAAATCTTGAGTCTCTCCTTGGCTCCATTAAACTCCCAGAGGTAACCAACCTTATCTAAATTCTCTGGTCAAAATAAATGAAACAAGAGAAGCATTTTTTGAGTTGCCAAATAAGAGAAGTTGAAAGTTTATCGAGTAAATAATAATAATAATTAAAAAAAAAAAAAGGCACCTGGATCTCGAACAGTAGTGCGGACAACATGGCCTTGCTCAAGTAAGGTCTTGACCAAATAGGCAGCTATGAAGCCAGTTCCTCCAGTTACGCAATATTCCGGCATCTCTCTTCTCTGATTACCTCTTTTGTCTGCGCACATACATATAGTGGTTTGGTTATTTTTAAATGTAAAAGAAACATGTATCATGACTCCATGGCTTGCATATCCTACTTTTATTTTCTTTATTTTTTTAATGGTAGATGAGTCATTCGATCCGGGTGTTTAGCTACTACTCTTGCTTTAATAATAATTTATTGGAAAATGATAGACTTACCGACTAGTGTGTACCGATTTTGTGCACCGAATGACGTGACAAAATCCTGGCCGTTGATTAATATTAACTGATAATAAATAAACGGTCAGGATTGTGCCACATCATTCAGTGCACAAAATCGGTACACACCAGTCGGTAACTGTAGTATTACTCTAATTTATTTACTTGGAATTCCAAACATTCAATATTTTAAAACAAATCGCGAACTGTAGTGTTCAAATAGGCCCAGACAAAGGGGAAACGGGCCGTGTTCTTTTAACATCTCTAGACAAGTACTGGGTTTCTTATGCCATGCAAGAATGGTACTAAGTCTGAGGTTGAGGTGAGTTAATGGGTGACATAAGAGTTTGCAAATGTAGGTTAATTTTGTAAATATATTAATTCACATGTTAAAACAAATAAAACGAACTGATAATTTTTTTTTATTAAGAGGTTAGGTACAATGTATTTTCTATCACTCAGTTACAAAGACAAACAGATTTAGATGATCTTCTTAAGGAATTTTGCTATAAATACTTCATGAAATTCCTTGATTTTTTCTTTTTCTTTTGAGAGATTAACTTATTTACATATGATCAAAACTTGTCATATCCTAAGATATTATATGAGCCACTTCCGAAAACTCAAACCTATGTGATATTCTGAGCCTTCTTGCTTTGAATCATGATTAAGGGAAGTGATTTTTAGTTCTTATCTATTTTGTCACTAGCCCCATTTAAAGGTTTTTATTTTTTATTTTTATTTTTTTTTAAATGGATTACATAATTAATAACTAAGAAACCTTCTTATCTATTATTCTCTTAACTTCTTTTTTACCATTTAAATAAAGGTAATGTACCAATAACAATAATAATATAATTTAACTCCCTCAAAAACACCAACACCCACCTAATGATAAGTCTATAGTTGTACAAATATATTGAAAACATTCCACAAGCCTTTGATAAACTTGATAGGCTTGCGTATGTAGGTTAGATTCATGATTTTACTCTCTTGTGACTTGGCCAGCCGCAGGACTCTGAATACGGTGTGTCTTGCTTGAGCGTTGGAGGGTGAATGCTCGATAGGATCTCCATTGACTCCCTTTGCCTTACGTTTGTGTTTGCATGAAGATATCTAGCTTGTTACATTGGCGAGGAGACTCCTAGGACTGGAAGTACCGGGCCTGAAAAGACCATAGGCCTAGGCCTACCAGTTTTCAGTGTCAACACTATCATATTATTCTTTTTAATCTTTAAACCTCATAAGATGACTAGAACTCCATTATTAACAGAAGAGCGTGTGTTTGGACATTCTTCTTTTCTGCCATTACATCTTAATTCTCTTAAAACCCATAAACTAAACTTTTCCTTCTCCTTTTAACTCTCTTCACATACAAAAACCACTTACAACTCTCATCGTTAGACTTTGTTTTTCTATTTTCCTTCTCCTTTTAACACTATCATCATATTGATCATTGGAAGTGTCTGGGCCGAAGCTTTGGAACTACCGATCGGATAAGAGACCAAGTGGCCACTCCTATTAGTGTCTAGGGGGACTTGAACTCAAGAGCTCATGGAATATTTTTTTGCTCTTTTACCATCATGTCAGCCACTGGTGATTGATTCTTAGCTAAATTGGCATATGCTAAATGAAGAAAAATAACAGTTGAAAAATTGATGTATTGTATTATTGAAAGTTCTGAAGCAATTGCTTTGTATACACACATATATATACAAAGGGAAAGTGAGAAAACTCTAATTAGTTATAACAGCTATCAAACTTATTAACAAACTAACTCTGTTACTAACAAACTTACTCTGTACATGTGACTAACTAATTTTGGACTACTAACTGAGTAATTGATTTTGGTATCTGCAGTATTTTCTAATACCCTCCCACAAGCTGGAGAATGAATATTAATCATGCCCAACTTGGACACAATTTCGTGAAATGGAACGACACCGAGTAGTTTGGTATATATGTAAGCTAATTGAGTAGAAGAAGAACAGGGCACAAGATGAATGAGACCATCACGAACCTTTTCACGAACAATATGACAGTCGATTTCGATGTGTTTTGTTCGTTCATGAAAAGGTTAGGTTTGCTGCGATCTGCAAAGCAGACATGTTGTCACAAAAAAGTAAAGTAAGATGAGTATGTAGCACATGGAGATCATGAAGTAAGTAGGTGAGCCATTGTAATTCACAGGTTGTAGAAGCAAGAGTGCAATACTCAACTTCAGAGGAGGAATGAGAGATGGTAGTTTGCTTCTTGGCTCGCCAACTAATTAAGGAAGAACCAAGAAAAATGCAAAAACTTGTGACTAATCGTCGAGTGTCCACACAGCCTACCTAATCAAAATTGCTAAAAGCTTTGAGAAGCAAAGATGAATCAATAGGAAAGTAAAGGCCAGAGACAGGAGAACCTTTAACATAGCGAAGAACACAATGGGCAGCTTGGAGATGAGATGAAGTTAGTTTATCCAAAAATTGACTTAATTGTTGTACCATGAAAGACAAATCTGGACGAGTTGTAGTTAAGTACAACAATCAACCAATCAACCTTCGATAAGGAGAACTATTTGGCAGAGGATCCCTATGAACTTTACTAAGCTTTAAGGAAGAATCCATAGGAGTTTTGGTAGGCTTCGAGCCTAAGAAACTTGAGTCAGACAATATTTCCAGGGCATACTTCCGTTGATACAAGGCAATACCTTTGTGAGTTCGGGCCACCTCCAAACCCAAAAAAAAAATTAAATCCCCCAAGTCTTTAATCTTGAAAGCATCATCTAGATAAGTCTTGACAGAATCAATTTCCACCAAGTTAGTTCCAGCAAGGATTAAATTGTCAACATAAACGAGTATAATGGTAATGGAGGCAGTTGAATGTTTGACAAATAGGGAGTAATCAAAAAAGGATTGAATGTGTCCAAAAGAAATGAGTGCAGAAGCTAATTTGGAAAACCATTGTCGACTAGCTTGTTTAAGTCCATAAAGAGACTTTTGGAGCTTACAAACTTGTTGAGGATGAGAATAATTGAAACTAGGAGGCAAAACCATATATACTTCTTCTGTGAGATTACCATGCAAAAATGCATTATTAACATCAAGTTGTTTAAGATGCCTTTGATTAACAGTAGCCAAAGCTAAAAGTAATCTGACAGTGGTGAGCTTAGCAACAAGAGAAAAAGTATCAAAATAATCAACACCCTTAGTTTAAGTGTAACCTTTAGCAACGAGATGTGTTTTATATCTTTCTATAGAGCCATCAGCCTTGTATTTGATTTTATAAACCCGTTTGCAACCTATCGAAGACTTACCAACCGGAAGATCAGTGAGGACCCAAGTGTTATTCTGCTTAAGAGCAGTAATTTCAGCTTATATTGCCTCTTTCCAACATTGATGTTTAATAGCTTGGGTATAAGTTTTGGGTTCAAATGTAGCAGAAATTGTTAAAGTAAAATGCTTATAGGAAGGAGATAAATTGGAATAAGAGATGATAGAAGATAAAGAATATGGTGTATCTGAGTGGAGATGACTATGATCAGTGGAAGTAGCAAGATTGCAATGATAGTCTTGTAGATATGTGGGAGTCACATGAAGTCTCTGTGAACGACGAGGAGCAGGTTGATCAAATATGGGAGCAGGGGATGGTAATGGAAAAGTTTGAGCAACTGGTGAAATATTATAATCAGGCAAAAAAGAGCCTTGAGGTAAAGGGATGGAGGAAGCATTTGTTGGTTTAGTAAATGGAATTGAAGAAACAGTTTTCTGGTTTAGTAAATGGAAAGATTGCTTCATGAAATGAGACATTGTGAGATACAAAAATTTCTTTTGAAACTATGTCTAAAAGAATAAAGCCCTTGGTACCAGATTTATAGCCAAGAAAAACACTTTTTCTAGCTTGAGAATCAAACTTTAATCGATTGGTAGACAATGTAGAAGCAAAGCAACGAGAACCAAACACTTTTAGATTGGTAAAATCTGGGGGTTGGTTATGGAGAAGTTCAAAAGGTTATTTATGTTGTAAAAATGGAGAAGGAAGTCTGTTTATCAAGTATACAGCATGGAGAATGGTGTAGCTCCACAAGATTTTGGGTAAATTGGATTGAAAAAGTAATGATCAGGCTACATTCAATATGTGTTGGTGTTTACGCTCCACAACGCCATTTTGTTGTGGAGTTTCAACACATGAAGTCTGACGAAAGGTTCCTTTAGAAGCATAAAAAACTGGCATGGCAAATTCACAACCATTGTCACTTCTAAGAATCTTAATTTTGGTCGAAAATTGAGTCTCAACTAGAACAAAAAAGGATTGAAGTAGAGTTCTTGTATCAGATTTATTTTGCATTAAGAAAACTTATGTGTTTCGGGTATAGTCATCAACAATGGTCAAGAAATACCTGTGACCATGTACAGAAGGGGTAGAAAAGGGGCCCCAAATATTAACATGTATCATGTCAAAACATTTATTTGATCTAGTATTACTTACAGAGAATGACAGCTTCTTTTGCTTAGCAAAATGACAAATATTACAACAAGAATTATCATGAAATCTAAGACTCGTTATTTACGGGACTAGAAGTTTGATTCGTGAATAAAAAACATGGCCAAGTCTATAATGTCGGATATCAATTGTGGTATTTTTGGAGGACAGAGAAACATGAGAGGGAAGAGAAGAACTGGTGGAAGACCTATGCATTGCATATAAACCATCTTGCACTTTAGCTAAACCAATCGTCTTCCACGAGGTCAGATCCTGTATAAAACAACAAGCATTTTGGAAAACCAAACAACAATGAAGTAGAGAAGTAAGTTTTGTGACAGAAATCAGATTAAATGAAAATTTAGGAATATAGAGAACATCGGTGAGACTTAGGCTATTAGTGAAAAAGACAGTGCTAGAATAATGAGTGGTGATTTGATGAC